GCGGCGCTCCCTGACCAGGCGGGGCCGGCGCTGTCCCAGCGGAAATCCACGGGCCAGCTGCGGAAGTCGAAGGTGTAGAGGCCGAGTTTCCGCTGGGGGAACGTCCCCAAAACGTCCCCAAAATATCCCCAAAATGTCTCCAGAATGTCTCCAGAATGTCCCCAAAATGTCCCAAAAATCTCTCCAAAACCTCCCCAGAATGTCCCCAAAGTGTCCCCAAAACATCCCCAAAATGTCCCCAAAATGTCCCCAGAATTATCCCCAAAATGTCCCAAAAATCTCTCCAAAACCTCCCCAGAATGTCCCCAAAGTGTCCCCAAAACATCCCCAAAATGTCCCCCAAATCACCCCAGAATTGTCTCCAGAATGTCCCCAAAATCACCCCAAATCTCCCTAAAATCTCCCCATTTTGCCGAAAATCTCCTCAAATCTCCCCAAAATTTCCCCATTTTGCCCAAAATCTCCTCAAATCTCCCCAAATCTCCCAAAATCACCTCAAAATCTCCTCAGAATCTCCCCAGAATTGTCTCCAGAATGTCCCCAAAACCTCCCGAAACGCCCCAAATCTCCCCAAATGCCCCAAAATCTCTCCAAATCTCCCAAAAATCTCCCAAATCTCCCCAAAATCTCTCCAAAACCTCCCCAGATCTCCCAAAATCTCCCCAAAATCTCTTCGAATCTCCCCAAAATCTCCCCATTTTGCCCAAAATCTCCCCAAAATCTCCATGAAATCTCTCCAAATCTCCCCAATATCTCTCCAAATCTCCCAAAAATCTCCCAAATCTCCCCAAAATCTCTCCAAAACCTCTCCAGATCTCCCAAAATCTCCCCAAAATCTCTCCAGATCTCCCCAAAATCTCCCCATTTTACCCAAAATCTCCCCAAAATCTCCATGAAATGCCCCAAATCTCCCCAATATCTCTCCAAATCTCCCAAAATCTCCCAAATCTCCCCAATATCTCTCCAAAGCTCCCAAAAATCTCCCAAATCTCCCCAAAATCTCTCCAAAACCTCCCCAGATCTCCCAAAATCTCTCCGAATCTCCCCAAAATCTCCCCATTTTACCCAAAATCTCCCCAAAATCTCCATGAAATGCCCCAAATCTCCCCAAAATCTCTCCAAAACCTCCCCAGATCTCCCCAAAATCTCCCCAAAACCTCCCCAGATCTCCCAAAATCTCTCCAAATCTCCCCAAAACCTCCCCATTTTGCCCAAAATCTCCCCAAAATCTCCATGAAATGCCCCAAATCTCCCCAACATCTCTCCAAATCTCCCCAAATTTCCCCAAAACCTCCCGAAATCTGCCCAAATCCCACCCTGCTGTCGGCGCTGCCGGAGCGGTGGCTCTCCTCCAGCACGGCGATGAACTCCAGGTACTGGGGGTTGCTCCAGCGGCCCAGCCCTGGCGTGGGGGCACCGAGAGTTCAGGGGGTCCCCCAAAATTCCCAAAATCCCCCCAGAATCCCCCAAAATTCCCCAAAATCCCCCTGACCTCGCAGGCAGGCCACGCCCGCCAGCAGCAGCCCCAGGGTGGCGGCGCAGTGGGACAGGGGCACCACGCGGGACATGGTCAGCAGGCCTGGGAGGGAGAAAAGGCACCAAAATCATCCTAAAATGACCCAAAAATTATCCCAAAATGATCCAAAACGACCCCTAAAAATCCTCCCAAAATAGCCCAAAAACACCCCAGAAACAGCCCAAAAAAATAACCCAAAAACAACCCCAAAGCACGCGGGACATGGTCAGCAGGCCTGGGGAGAAAATGGGGAAAATGGCACCAAAATCATCCAAAAATGACCCAAAAATTATCCCAAAATGATCCAAAGCAACCCCTAAAAATCCTCCCAAAACAGCCCAAAAATGACCCAAAACAACCCCAGAAACCGCCCAAAAATAACCCCAGAAACAGCCCAAAAATGACCCAAAACAATCCCTAAAAATCCTCCCAAAACAGCCCAAAAATAACCCAAAAACTGCCCAGAAACACCCCCAAACCACCCCCAAAACTCCCCCCCAAACCCCCCAGAAACCTCCCCAAATCCTCCTCAAATTCCCCCAAAACCACCCCAAATCCCAAAAAATACCCCCTAAAGCCACCCCAAATTCCTCCAGATTCTCCTCAAATCTCCCCCAAAATCTCCCCAAATCTCCCCAAAAAATCCCCCCAAATTCCCCCTAAATCTCCCCAAAAAATCCCCCCAAATCCCTCCAAATTCCCCCTAAATCCCCCCAAA